AATTTGGATAACTTCCATCAGATATATGTTTGATGCCTAGTTGGTGTTGAGTGTACAAATTGGCTACTCTAACTCCAGGCTTTGGAAATTGATTCATTTTAATTTAGTACATGAATTCCTTATTATTTCTTTTTCTTTAAAAATGTAGGTAAAATTAAGCAATGTCTATATACAAAAGAATTGCTATATATAACATGAAATCTAAAAGACATAAATATTTTAGTTAATAAACATGTCTCAGCTAATTTTCTCTTCCTATGACAAAACACCATAACCTAATGTGGGATTCCCCTCTGTATGCTGTGAATACCATTGATTAATAAAGAAGCTGCTTTGGGCCTATTGCAGCACAGAATAGGGCAAGGCAGGAATTCCAAGCAGACAGAGGAGGAGAGAGTAGGTGGAGTCAAGGAGAAGCCATGTAGCCTCTGCAGGAGATAGATGCCACTGGACACCAGATGGAACTTTACCAGTAGACCACAACCACGTGCAATACACAGATTAATAGAATAGATTAATCTATGATACAAGAGCTAGCCAATAAGAAGTATGAGCTAATAGTCTAAGCGGTGTTGTAATAGTACTGTTTCTGTGTGATTATTTCAGGTCTGGATGGCCGGGAACAAACAAGCAGCCTCTGACTACTAATTGGCACCCAACGTGGGCTAACCAAGGCAACTTATCAAAGAAAGCATTTAATTAGGGGAGCTCACAATTCCAGAAGGTTAGAATCTATGACCATCATGTTGGAGAATATGGCAGCAGGTAGGCAGGCGTGGTACTGGAACAGTAACTGAGAATATACATCAGATCCACATGTATAATGCAAAGACAGGGCTAATTGGAAATGCTGATCCATCTCCTCCAAGGCCACACGTCCTAATCCTTCCAAAACCATTTCACCAAATGGGGAACAAGCATTCAAATATATGAGCCTTTGAGATTTAAACTTCCACAACCACTTTGGCTACCATCATTTTTAAAGTACCCTCATTTCTTTGGAGAAAGCAGAAAAAGATGACCCTCTGCTTTCTCTGAATCTTTTTCTTAGAATTAGAAACATTCTAGAGTTCATGACTATTTCTGGGGCTTATTGCTATAATTTGGAGCTAGAAGACAGTCTTCATAAGGAATACTTTCTTTGTAGGATTTTCTTGCACACAAGACGACTGACTTTTAGCTTGACATTACATCATTTTTAACAAGTAACTGCAGTTCCTTCCACCTATACCCTAACCTCCCAAACCTAATTTGGGAGACATGCTAAATTCCAGTCTATATTAAACACCAGGTTCTCAGTTTGTGCAAGTAGATAGATGAAGTTACCCTGCATTAAGACAAGTAATATTGGAAGATGACCAGTTGTTTAGACAATGTTCTAAACATACCTTTCCCCTTCCAATACTTCATAGCACCAAGCAACCAGAAAACTCATGGAACCATATGTCTGTCCAGGCCAAGATATTCTTCCTATGGTAGCATTCTAGATTACTATAAGAAGAACCTAACAAGTTGGAGCTCCAAATTTGTGCCCTATTCCCCTAGAAATATCCTCTTCATAATTTCAATAAAAACTCCAATTAGAACATTAATGAAAGTAAAATAGTTATGTGTTCAATCATCCAGCCAACCACAACTGACTATAAAAAAATTCCCCCAAACAATTCACAATTGGAATTTGGAGCCCAAAAGTTAAAAATTAGGTTAATGGAGTGAATAAATTCCTGCCATATCACAAACAAGTCCTATTATGTAAAAAGTAAAAACAGATATCCATCTAAAGACTTTTCTTTTAAAACCACTCTTAACGAATTATCACTGCAACCATGCATTAGGGAAACACTCAGCCCACATTGGAGACACTAGTAGTAGATAGCAATTAGTGCAAAAACCCACACCTGGTCAAGATTCAGAGAATTAGAAACTGTAGAGTGCTTACCTCTAAATGAAATATCTATATTAGACCCTGTTCCCCAAAGATTGGAAATTTTAGCAAATGGGACAAAATGATTGTTAGAACCAGTTGTTGATAATTTCAAAGCACTGGAAAAAATGTTTTCCAAATCCAGCAAGATAATTACACACGAATTCACATCAGTTACAGCAACATGCACAAGACCTGTGAAGCTCTAACCAGACAAAATCCCAGTATGGACAGGGGTTTGGGGCACAAAGTCCAAGCCCTGGAGGAGTTATTTGCAATTGTTAGCTTCTGGGAGACTGACAATATGAGTAACACAAACTGGACTCAGTGAGTTTAAAAAATAAAAGAGAGAAGACAAAAGTGGGTGGGTGACAATCTGGGGGTGGATCTAGGAGGGAGTGGAGGAGGGAGTGAATACCATCAGAATACACTGTATATTCTTCCCTGGGGAAAACTATTTCTACAACTCTCAGCATTCCTTAATTGCCTGTAGTTCTGTCTTCAGAATTGGGTTATCATGAGTTCCCCCGTCCAAGCATGTCTATATTTATCATCCTTATTCAGGTAATATTTAGGCAGCCATGTCAAATTTCCTGAAAACACATACATACAAGTAACACACACACACACACACACACACACACACAAACACAAACACACATATATAATAGAAATTAAAGAAAAAGAGGTCATGAATTTGATAGAGAACAACGGTGGATACATGTTAATGTTTGGAGGGAGGAAAGGGAAGGGGAAATAATTTGATTTCATTATAATCTCCAAAGATTAGATATAAAAATATCACATGCAATATTTAAAGAATGTTTAATATTTAAAATGTCTAAATTATATCAAAGTATTTATTTGGATATTTTATTTTATTTACCTGTGCATAAACTTTTCAGTTCACACACCTTCTCTTTCCCCTGCCATTTTTCTTTTCCTATTACACACATATTCTCTTTTTCCTGTCTCTTTCTATTCCTCTATTTCTTTCTACCTCTTCCTCTTTTTACTTCTCTTACCTCCGCTTCTCTCCTCTCCCTTATCCTCTTCTTCTTTCTCCCCTCTCCTCCCTTTATTTCTCTCTTCTCTTCTGTCTTTTCTTCTCTCCCCTCCCTTTTCTCTTCTATCCCCTCCTTTCCACTCCATTTGCCTCTCCTTCCCCTTCCACTCCTCTCTTTTCTCTCATCCCCTCTTCTATTCTCTTCTCTCCTGTTCTTTCCATCCTTCTACTCTTATCTACCCACTCACTCTCCTCCCTTCCCCTCCTCTTCCCTCTCCTCTCTTCCATCTCCCTGCTTTCCTGTCGTCTACACCATGCTTTGCAAATAAATCATGCTCAGTCACTGGCTACAAAGTAAATTATTAGTCTCTAGAAAACAAAACACTGTAGCTTGATTTGTTCAGTAAGAAAGACAGTCACTTTTGAATTGTGAAAGTCAACACAATTATTTTTTCTCCTTTGCTTATGCTTATAGTATATTTTTTTCCAAAGTCTTATCAGTTTTGTTTTGATTTTTATTTACTTCTTTAGCAAATTGTAGAAATCACTTCCTGTTTTCAAGTTCCAGTTCCTTATGTAATGCCAAACTGGAGAATTAATATTTCTCCATAAAATAACATAAGACAAAATATAAATAAAAATCCTATAGAGATTGGTCAGCAAGAGGCCCTCTTTAAACTATAATAATGATATATTTGTGATCACTGAAAAAAATGTTTGGCATATAAAATAAGGGAGACAAGCTTTCAAGGAGCATATTTATACTGCTTAATCACAAACAACTTCAAAATATTCTGCAGTCCATTGTTTATCAACAGCAGATATGCAAATAGTTATGAAAACACAAACACTCACTAGTTCTTCTAAGGAGCCATATTAAGCTATAATTGCCTGATATTTTAATTCTACATTGTATTTCTAGTTTTTTTCTGCTATTGTTCCTCTACTAGAATAAAAGCCTGATGATTGCAGAGCTTTGTCTATTTTATTGCTGTATTTCTAGTATTTACATCTGTGTCTGGTATGTAGATGATTAATTAAAACTTAAATAAGAGAACTATGAATTATACAATGAAATATTCTTTAAGTGTTAGAATTTCATTTTTTAAAAAATTTGTCATTCAAATTTTCAGTAAAACAGTCCCTGGTTTTATGACAAATATGACTCATTATCTTTATCTTCAATGTTTTCCAATTTTGAAAATCATCAATAAAGGTTAAAAGAAAAAAATGTGTCTTCTACAAGGTTATAAAAGTGGAATCACTTAGAATTACAGCATAATGTCAGACAGAAATAATTTAATAGACCTGGCTTGACTGCTCTCCTTAGGGTTCTAACCAACTCATTGACCCAAAGAACACACAGTTGAGCTACAAAGTAGATATAGCAGAGCATGCCATGTATTGAGGACAATGTTTTATGCAGTGCAAGCTTCTTTAAGAGTGAATTACTCAGAAAACCTCAGGCATCTTTTTTTCCTCTCTGTTATTTTACCTTCTACACCACCTAGCCCCTACTTCCATCACTTCTGAGAATCAGTGCTCATTTCTGTAGGCTCCACAGAAGCAAATAAGCTGAGGAACTTTTGATACTTCAAAAGGACCATTTTTTAAAGAACAAAACAATTATACCTTATATCGACTTGAGACAGAGAGAAATTTTAATGTCAAAAGCATGTGTTCAACCTCCTTCAGCTCATAAACTTTAATGTTCCTTTTGTCACTTGTTTGTTCAGTTCTTTGATCATTTCTGACAGCACTGTTATCAACTTCCTCTCTGCTAATGCCATTTTGTGACTTGTAAAAATACAGTGAGCCAAATGCTGTGGTTTTCACAAGTGACATCTGATATTCCTTACAGTGTTTGCCAGTGTCTAGGTCTTCTTTTCCATTCTACTTCAGAATACTTTTATATGTGTTGTAACAAAATATGAAAATGCATTAAAATGTTGCTATAGGTCCTCAAAAACTATACCTGTATCATTCTGAAATATTCTCAAAAAAACTGGACTTAGGGCGGCGGCGATAGAGGGGGCGGTGGTGGTGGCGGTAGCAACGGCAGCCGCCCCCGTACGGCTCCCCACCAGGGCACGGAGGATGATGAAGCTCAAGTCGAACCAGACCCGCACCTACGAAGGCGACAGCTACAAAAAGAGGGCCGCGTGCCTGTGCTTCCGCAGCGAGAGTGAGGAGGTGCTGCTTGTGAGCAGTAGCGGCCATCCAGACCGATGGATTGTCCCTGGAGAAGGCATGGAGCCCGAGGAGGAGCCAAGTGTGGCAGCGGTCCGGGAAGTCTGCGAGGAGGCTGGAGTGAAAGGGACACTGGGAAGACTGGTTGGAATTTTTGAGAACCAGGAGAGGAAGCACAGGACGTATGTGTATGTGCTCATTGTCATGGAAGTGCTGGAAGACTGGGAAGACTCAGTGAAGATTGGACGGAAGAGAGAGTGGTTTAAAATAGAAGACGCCATTAAAGTGCTGCTGTGTCACAAGCCCGTGCAGGCCTCGTACTTCGAGACGCTGAGGCAAGGCTACTCTGCCAACAATGGCACCCCTGTCATGGCCACCTCGCACTCCAGCTCTATGTCAGGTATCAGATGACTGCAGACTTCCTGCCAGAGCTGGAGAGTGGAAACCGAACTGAAGTGTGGCTCTCCACCGCTCCTCACCCTCCTCACAGCCCCCTCTTTCACCCAGGCATGGCGGGCAGCAGAGAGGGTGCACTGAGGTACTGCTGTGGGTGTGGGGTGATGTGGGTGGGGTGTGGTGTGATGGGAACTGTCTTCTCTTTCTGTTTTTCCTAAGGGTGGGGACTGGGATGTAACTCACGAGTTCTTTCCTGCATGCTCCATTCCTCCCTTGCTCACCCGCCCTCTGAGAGAGGAAACCCTTGGGCTCTGAACCGTTCCCATTTGCCTCATCCCAGCCTGGCCAGATATTTTCTGATCCCCCCCATTAAAAGACACCCATGTGAGATGAAACTTTCTAGGACTCTGTCCTGTGACATGCTGTTGAGCCCCAAGGGTTGACCGTGTTTCCTGCAGGATGCATTTGTCTGTACATTATACCCTGACACGATATGTAAATGAGTGATTTAGAAAGAGGAGCTTGACTGTTCAGTTTTTCAGTTTTGCTTTTTGTTTTTTCATTTTTATTTTTATTTTTTATTCCAGGTGTTTCTAGTTTAAAGCCCCTCACACTTTACATGTTTGTTTCAATGCTAGTGACTAGGCAGGTTTCCCTGTCTTCTGTCCCCAGCCACGGTGAACTTTGCTATCTTCCTCCTGCCCCTGGGACCCTGGCCTTCTCTAGGCTGTTTCCATGCCGAGGAACCTGTTTTCTGTTACCAAGCTTGGAGTAAATGGCCTCAGCCCAGAGCCAAAGAAGCAGTGATATGTTCACAGTAGGCTTTAAACTGGATAACCTTACTGTTGCCGAAACTGGACCATCAAGCACCACGTCTGCCCTGCTGGCTGGGAATGTTTTTCATAACGCTATTCATCGCTGACATGGCCTCTCTTACCCTTGTACGCCTTACACCACGCTGACCTGGATATGGCCCCATGCTCTGAAGCCATCCTGCACAGTCTTGTCCCCATGCAGAGAGGTCCCACTGAGGTCCTGAGATGTACACGGGGCAGAGTGTGCCTGTGTCTCTGAGTCTGAGCGTGTGCCAAGGGTTACACCACGAGCGAGCTTGCTGTCTGCCCTGTGTGACAAGTCGTCTGTAGGAGGGGCTCACTGCAACCCTCTGGCTTGCTGCAGGCCCCTGTTGCTGTTTCGTGCCGAACTCATCTGTCAGTTGTGTTTAGTTGGGAAGTAAAGGGTCTTGGACAGGGCCTTGTGCACGGAGGGTGGGAGGGAGCTGATGCCTGACTTAGTGTGGGGCTTGGTACTCTGTGGCATTGCCTGTGTTGAAATGTAGCCAAGATGTGAAATTAAAATAGTATTTCTCTTATTTAAAAACTAATAAATACTCAAACTTTGAAAAGAAAAAAAAAACTGGACTTATAAGTCTGAGTCCTAGAAAAAGAAGACAGTATAAAACATGTTATGTACTATGTAAGTTATAAATATTTGACTCTGTAAAACATAGCTAGATACTTTTCCTTGTCCACCCTACAGGTTAGCAACATGCAAAATGGTCATTTCTTTAGTAGTATGAATATGCACCTACCCTAACTAAACATTGTGAACAAGTTTACATCATATCACAAATCTATAAAACATGCAGTGGTAATAAAGTGATTGTGAACCATCAGGAAACATGTAAATTTGAATGTTTGGAGTCAACCTACAGATACCAGTAAATTAGGCCTAGAGGCAAGTCAATAACGAATCAGGTGTAAAATAGGGGCAAGGAGAATTAAATCTTGTCCATTCATAGATTCTGGTAAGAAGGATATGGGTGTGCAATGACGGAGAAAATACTGGTCCACAGCCAGACTGTGAGTATGGAACTTCAAACAGCCTTTACTTACTGCTGTCTCCAAGACTAGACATAGCAGAGCAATGTTGCTAAACATGGTGAGTATTTGGCTTTATGTACTGAGACATTCTAGAGAAGGTAGAATTAGATAGCTAAGTGACAATGATTCAGCAGTCTGACAGATGCCAAAGCCAAAGTTCTCCCAGTAAAATAGTGATCTGTCCTCCTTTAACTCTATTGCTGGTTCTAAAGGATGTTGAGAAAGCTAATGTGAACACTGAGGAATCATCCCCCAAGGAAAGAATGGATATATACATACAATCTACATCTGGGTTCAATCAAAGGCATTTTATAGAATGTTGGCCAAGACAGAGATATCGTCAGATACTGAAATAGATGGGAACTATGTAGATCCCAATGAGCATTGAGTCACAATTCTAATACTCAAAGATTGTTTGAATGTGGGTGATGATAATTGATAATTATGACTGAGATGTCAGTAGATTGTATTGTGATTAGGAGTGTGATTCCTTACTGTTGAATGGCGGGAACGGGGCCCCTTGTTCTGGTGGCCCTGCTAGCTTACACCCAAAATAATCACACAGAAACTGTATTCATTTAAACACTTCCTGGCCCATTATCTCTAGCCTCTTATTGGCTAACTCTCACATATTAGTTTAACCCATCTCCATTAATGTGTGTCACCACTTGACTGTGGCTGACTGGCATGAGTCTAACCAGCGTCTGTCTCAGGCAGGCGAACCATGGCATCTGCCTGTCTGTCCTTCTTCCCAGCATTCAGTTCTGTTTTCCCTGCCTACCTGAGTTCTGCCCTATCAACTAGGCCAAGACAGTTTCTTTAATAACCAATGAAAGCCTCCTACACCACCTTACATTTAGCAGTCTCTGACTTCATAAAGAAGAAGCCATAGAACAGTGATAAAAGTATGATTGCATCCACAGTCTCTGAAAATAATTTAAAAAGGTTATTTTACTTCTAATTATGTATATGTATGTTGGAGTGGGAGTATGTACATATGAGTACAGTTGCCCATGCAGGCCAGAAGCATTGGCTCCCCCTGAAGCTGGAATTATACGTAGTTGTGAGCTACCCAACATGGGATCTCAAACTGAACTCAGGTCCTGAGATGAATCTGTCCTCTTTAGGACATTTCTTTCCCTCCTTCCAGTCCCCAGGGGCTCCAACTGTAAACTGATGACTTCATTCTGAAAAGTCTATTTGATCTCTTGCAGCTTTTCTGTCTTTGGTTCTGTAACTTCCTCTGTGCACTAGATTTTAGCTGTGGATACAGAACACAGAAGGATAACTTAAGTCTTGCTTTCCTTGGATTTTTTCCTTCATCTTCAAATTATATTCTCATTTTCCATTTGTCACAACACTCATTATGTGCTCTAAAACCAGGAAATTTCTTTTTTTCTGGCAATAAATAATAAATTGTTCTATTATGAACTAAGTAATACAGGATGCTCTGAATCCACCCTACTTTTAAAAAGCAACAGAAGATTCCGGTCTAATGAATTAGTAAGCACCATCCATGTTACCTCTCTACTATCCTCAAAGTAGCCTTCAGGGATATTTTTTTCATCCAAAAGGATTACTTCATCACTAGTACATTTATCATTTTGGTGTAACCATGACAATAAAGGACATAATGACTTTCTGTTTTGTTATTTCCTAAATTCACTACAGTTTCTATGCTAAGTTAATATAAAAAATAAAGCATAGAATAAACACTGCTACAGTATTAGAAGAGTCAATGAGCATTTGTGGTAGACTGGTTAATGGTTCTTAAAAATATCTAGGTCTTAGCCCAAGAATCTTGTTGATATATCGTATGAAAAAGAGAACTTTGCAGATATTACTATAATGATACTGAGGAAGTTACCTTGGATGCTTAGTGTAGGACCTCAATAAAATCCTAAACAGAGTAAAGAGGCAAAAAGAGGTATTACAACAGAAAAGAGAACTAGACAAGCTTACAAAGGAGGAAATGAAGGAAGAAATACAGACACAAACCGAAAGATGGTAACCACAAACATAGGTAAGAAGAAATAGATTTATTTTGGGGGGCTTACACAGAAAAAAAAAACACATCAAAACAGTTGTGCTGTCCCTTGATTCTAATTTCGTAAGACTCATTGCAGTTTTTGGAAATCCAAAATTATGAAAGAAGAAATGTGTGCTGTTTAACTTTGCGGTGTCACACACTGTGGAATGTGGTGTGTACCAGACACTGCACCACTCATCTCATTTCATGTCTACAAGAGCCTTGTGAAATATTATCACATAGATTTCAAAACTAAGGAAGTTGAGACTCTGACAGATCAGAACTAATTAGTGGGAGAGCTTAAAATGGAAGCCAGGTATCTGACTTCAGAATCTATTTTCTTCCCATTACAATATCTAATAAAAATAGCTGATGAAAAGATTTTACATTCATCTGAAGCCTGCACTAAAAGTTGTGGAGGCAACAATTATTTCATTCCTCCTCCAAATCTAAAAGAAATAGATCTATAATAAAAGCCCATTTTTATTAGCTTCTGGAAGGGGAACAGTCCTTTGGTTGAGTAGGTGATGTGGCCCCTGTAGGTAAACCACACTTCAGTGGTATGGCACATATACAAGAGTATATGGATAACACAAATTGGACTTTATAGGTTTTAAACATAGAAATGGACAATAAGTTAGATAGGTATGGGAAGGGGAATGGACCCATGAGAAGCTGTGGGAAGGGAAATATATGGTCAAGCCCATAGTAGAAAACTCTCAAATAAATAATAAGAATTACAAAAGCAAATAAACAAATAAATAACCCTTTTAATAGTTGTGTGCAAATAGGAAAATAATTTTATTCTCTATGACTCAGTTTTCCTTTCTAAAAACGTGGCTGCTGCATAACATCAAAACCCAGCCCTTCAAATATGCTAAGGTTTGACTCTGCAATTCAGCAACAAGCCAGCCTGACTCTGTTTTATCATCTGTACAATGAAGCTGAAAAATATTAACATAGGTTTCATACATACATTATAAAAAGAAGTGATTGGTTATTTTTCCACAGCATATAATATCACTTGGATCACAGTGTCATAGTATAAAAATAAGTATATCCTTTTCAGAACTGTGGCATAAGAATTCCCAAGAATTAGCCTT